GCTGGCTTGTCCTTGACCTCAGAGCTGGAAAGCATTTTCTTTTCCAGATGAGGAACCTAAGGATTTCCAGGGTGTTTTGGTTTTGTTTTTACTTTTAAATTAGGAAAACTTTCAACATACAAGGAAGTAACGAGTTCAGCACAACGTCCTCTGGCAAGGAAGTGTTTTAAAGTAAATGACAGATACCATGCAGTTTAGAGCCAAACACTTCAATCTGCATCCCTGACACAGAAGGACACCGTCTCCTGGACCACGGGCTGTCACCGCACCTAACAAAGGGAACTCTAATTTCTCACCATCGTCCAACATCAGGCTGTGCTCAGATATCGCCAGGAGTTTCCAAAGTCTTCTGGGCTTGGTTTCCTGGATCCAGGACCCAATCGGTGTCCTCACATAGAGCAGCGTGATTCGAAAACCATCTCGAATGTCATAATTCAGACCACATGTTTGCCAGCGTGGACCACGGAGAGAACCAGACGTCTCCCATTTACATTTCGGCAACTTGGTCCCCCCGAGCCGCCTCGCCTTGGACACCGTGCAGCCCAGGGAGGGAGAGCGGAGCTCTGGGCTGACGCAGGCGCCAGGAGCCCTGGCAGGCACACTTGAGGGCGACACGCGAGCCACACTTGAGGGCGACACGCGAGCCGCCCTTTACAGGAGCGGGCGTGAGCCGCAAGAGGGGTGTTTTCTCTTCCTAAAGGCTGCTGAGCCTGCCCCTGAAATCTTGCCGCCACTCAAGACGGCTTGTCCCTAGGCAGGTCCCCGGGGCCCACCCTTGGAAGGACAGCCCCTTGGGCAGCCAAGTCCATCTCTGGTCCTTGGTCCTCGTGCGGCTGCCTGGAGGCGGCAACCAGCCACGTGTCCCCAAAATGTTTTGGGATGGGGGCTGGGGCGTACTCATGACATGGCTGTACAAGATTTTATCTGGATGAGGATTTTGAGGCTGTCACATTGTCTTGGGACAAACAGGGCCTTGGCTCACGATCTCCAAGGAGCTGCTGCCGAATCATCCATTGGGTGACTCCCTCAGGCCTCCAAGCTGCCTGGACCCTGGGTGCTCAGGGGTGGCTGCTCTTCCCGGTCCCCACCCCCCCGCCGTAGCTTCCCTGCCTCCACGAGGGGAAGATGCTGGGAATACACCCCAAGGAGAGGGTGCCCTCACCTTCCTCTTGCGACAGTGGGTTTGGGGACTGATACACGTAGACTGTTCCCAGTTCTTTGGGGTCCAGAAAAGCAGAAGGCGAACAGGAGTCGTCCTCCAGGCGTGCGGGTGACTGTGGACCTGGTCATTCACAAGGCCACGGCCACACCTTCCCCCTTGAGTGCCAGCCTGGGCTCTGCTCCCACCCATCACATCCCCGCCACCCTCCACACCCACCAGGACAGTGCGCCAGTCCCGGCAGGAAGTGGGGGCTCAAACGGGATGGAAAGGCCTTCCTGCTGCTCTTTCCTTGCCACGCATTTGGGGCCAGGTGCTTCTGTTGGTCCTGGGCACCTAGGATGCTTAGCAGCATCCCTGGGCTCTACCCATGAGATGCCAGCAGTGTCTGCAGCCATTGCCCAATGTCCCTTAGGGGCCAAAATCATCCTCAGTTGAGAACCACCAGGTGTTTTAACAAAACGCTTGCATGAAAAACCAGGAGAGTTCCATTCTGCTGAGGAAAAACATCAAATCCTTCGGAAGGCTCTCAAGGTCTGGCCTTTCCTGCAGGCTGTCTCTGCTCTAGCCACACTGGCCTTCTGCAAGTTCCTCAGCCCTGATGAGCTTCCTGCAGCCACAGGGCCTTTGAACACGCTGCTCTTCCTTCTGGAATGTGATTCACTAAGCATCCTGGCCTACATATGCTCACTGGTCATTTTCTCAATAAAGCTCTTCTGGCCCCGCAGGTCAGGTTCCTTCAGCCCATGTTCTGTTCCTCAAAGGCACTTACGACTGATGACTGACGTCTTTCTCCCTGATGAGGGTTGCTCTGCTTTGCTCGCCATTACCTCCTGAGCACCTGGCCCAGCACCTGGCACATTGTTGGAACTCAGTAAGCGCTGTTGAACGAATCTCCCCTCTGGTCCTTCGTCTTGGTGGACCCTGTCACCTTCTCTGCTTCTCTCCCGCTCTGACCCGCGCCCCTCACCCCCACGTCACCCACCACACCACGGGGTCTGTCACAGGTGACCTCTTTCAGCCTCCATCCCCCTCACCACACCCCAGCCAGGCTCACACTGGAAGTGGGATGGTGTCCCTACACCCACTCAGGGGCCGAACCGTGAGAATGCAGCGGGCACATCCACAGCTGTCACCCCGAGTCTCCCTGTTGGAAGCCAGGCTGGGTGAGTCTCTTGGGATCAGCGTGCTGCTTAGCCAAGGCATGCGTCGCGGGTCTCTGGGCCGCTGCTTCCTGGTCTGGCTGAGCACTCCGGCCCGCTGTGCTCTTCTGCGTTTCTCTGGCTTTCGTTCCCATCAGAGAAACAGCGCGTGGGGGCCCTGTGGGGGTGGCTGAGGGCAGCGGCTCAGGAGTCGGCCTGCTCCCACCTCTGAGTAGCTGTGTGGCCACACTCGGTAGGCCTCAGCCCAGCCCCTGCACCGGGGGAGGCTCCGGCCCGCATCTTCGTCAGGGAGGGGGCAGCCCTGTGCGGCTTGGGGCCTGTGCTCCGCATCTGGTCAAATGCCGACTCCCCCGCTGGGCAGCTGCGAGCGCCCAGTAGCCTTCTTCACCTGTCTGCACCTAGTTTCCTACCTCGCACGGTAGTCTGAGGCGTCAGAGCACCTGGCAGAGGGCACGTTGTCAGTGGTCTGGAGCAGTCGTTGTGGACTGTGTGGCACAGTGTCTGGTGCCAAGGGTCCAGGGTGTGGCAGCTGCTGTTACCCTACAAAGTCTCCAGTGTGCCAAGGGCATGGGCGGCCAGGGCCTCCTGGGTGTGCCCACTGGTGGACACAGGGCCTATGGGCGCGTCTCTCCAAAGACCCACGAGAGTGCAGACTTGGGTGCTAGGGCTTGTGGCATCTGTTGTGGTCCCCCTCGGCCCACCTCCACCTCCTCAGAAGTATAAGCAGATCTGATTAAACATTTTCCTATTCACTGGCCCTCAAGGCAGGACCCACTGGGAGGCAAGGCCCAGGGCCCGGGTGTGCGTGGCAGAGGCCTCCCTGGGCCGCTCCGGCCCAGCATTCACACCCCCTGCATCCTCAGGACACCATGACTTGGGGACTAAGCTGGGAGAGTAGATTCCAGCTGGTGGCAGCTGGGGTCGGGCATCTGAGACACTCACAGGGCCTTCCTCAGCCGATCACGTCCGACAAGACAGTCCAAGCGTCCTGAGCAGTGATATGATTGACCATGTGCCAACAGCTGTGTGATGATGCGCATGTTCTTTAACCGATCTGTGCCTCGGTTTCCTCATCCTTTGGAAGGGGCCATCTGGAGTTATGGTGATCACATCAAATGCTGGGAGTGGGGCCTGGCACATGGGAAGAGCTCAGAAATATGTTCTGTCATTATCACTGGTATTGTCATAAAAAGGCTGAATCATCGCATGGGGTCAGTGCATTATGTATGACGGGTACCCGTCTCAGAAAGAATCCTTGCAATGTTAAGGAGTCAGGGTGCCCTCCCCTTTGCTGCCCCCAGAACTGTGGGAGGGGTGGTGCGCAGAGCCAGCTACACAGATGAAGGGGGCAGCCCAGTCTCTGACCCCGTAGGTCCCAGGTGGGGCTTGCAGTGGGCACTCTGAGCAGTGCCCAGGGCTCTGTTGGCTGCTGGCCTGGGGCCATGCTGAGGACCGCTGACCCAGGGCTTCATTACTGGGTCGAAGGGCCTGTCTGAGCACTTCTTGCTAGCATGGGATGCTTGGTCCTGGGACCCACGTGTGCCAGCTGCCTGGGTGACTCCCATCCTCGCAGATGTGCAGAGCTCGGTGAGAGTGAGCCACCGGCCGGGTGGCGCCCCACAGCTCGTGTCAGTGGACGTGGTGTGTGTGCGCAGCTCTGTGAACCCAGTGAGCGGGTGCAGGACCAGGGGACACGGAGCAGGACCTGCAGCTACCTTCCCAGGCGTGCTCTGCAGCCGCTGGGTGCCATACACTCTGCCAGGCACAGGGCCTCCTTTGGGGCCAGGCCTGGGGCCTCTTCCTCCTCCACCACCTCCCTCCTGCCGCACTGGGGCAATTCCACTCTGATCACTTTCACACTGGGAAGTCCACATATGGTGTCCTCTGGAGAAAGCATTCTGTGGGCAAGGGTAAGTCAGAGATTCGGGCATGGGAAGACCCCCTGGGGACCCCTTCAGGGTGAGCGGTTTCCCCACAGAGGTGGGGTGCACACAGGGGGGACCGGATCTCTGCTGTGCAGCCAGGCCCTCTGGAAACCCCAGGAACAAGAACGGCCAGGCCTCAGGTTACCGGGAGGCAGAACTGAAGCATTCAGGGTCCCAGGAGCCTGCGGGTCCGGCCACAGGAGCGGAACGTGGCTTCTGTTTGCCCCTTAGCTGCCTCTTCCCGCTGGCTCACTCTCTCCGACGCTGCCCGCTCAAGCTCCGGAGGCCAAGTCTCACTCTTCCTCACTCTTTTGACCTGTGGCTGTGACCCTGCAGTTCAGAACACGCAGGTCCTGGGTCAGGAGCATCCCCAGAGGCTGGCAGAGGGCACTGGGTGCCGTGGACACCTGTGTGGGGTTCCTGCAGCCGCGCCGACAGGGGGTTGGCCGGGCCGGGGCATCCGACTGGGCCTGCCTGGCTCTCAAAACCGTTCTGCTCTCACTGCGGCTCCACCAGTGGCGGCGTCACGGGCAGATGCCAGCACAGCGGCCTCCAGCAACACGCGGCATGGCCCGCGGGCTGGGGCAGGGCTACTTCACCTACCATACGCACTTACCTTTTTCTGATTATCAAAGTAATACATGTTGGGTGTGTGAAAGAAAAACCTTACAGAAAACCATAATGTGGAAGGAAAAGATGCTCTGTGTTTAAACCATGGACATAATAATTGTAGAGGCTTGTAAATATGTCTACAGATTTTTTATGAGCATTTATTAACAACATATACATAGGTTGTCCATACATAATAAAAGTGGATTCAAACAAAGCATAGTTTTGTAGCTTTTAAAAAGTAGTCCTATGCACCTTGAACTCCCATGTCATTAAGTAAAGATCTTCAAACTTCTAATGGCTGTTGGTGACCTGCTGTCCATTTGTGCCAGTTTCACCAATTCATTGATGGACGCTGGGATTTTTCCCTTCGGGGTCAGTGCTGTTCAGGTATCTCTGTGCTCTGGTGTTCATGTTTCTGGGGAAGAGGCTTCCAGAAAGGTGTCTAGGTTAAAGGGTATGACTGTTTTACATCTTAACACATATTGCCAAGCTGGGCAGGGCCAGCGGCTACCAGAGGATGCCCACCTGCCCTCTGGCCCCACTGATGCCAATGCCCGCTGCTGCAACAGGTGGGTGGGCTCAATGGAAATTCAGCCATGCTGCCACCGTATTCTAAAAAATAATGAGGTCTCTTTAAGGGGAACCATGGCTATGATAAGGAAATAGAACAAGCTATTTGCCGGAATTCTATTTATGAAGGGGATTCCAAGGAACTTTCTGGGAGAGAAACATACTATAAGGTGGCAGCAGACACAGCTGGTCAGTGAGAGATGAAGGGGGTCAGTAATTCTGAGTGTGGCAGTGATGGCCATGAGTCCCCCCAAGGCTGGGCCTCAGGGGCACGTCTGCTCCTGCGGAGCACAGGGTACCAGGAGCTGCTTTACTCCCAGCTCCATAAAGCCCAGGACATCAGGGCCACTGCTGTGAGACCTTTCCAACCTAACAACAGAGAGGAAGAGAGAAAAATTAACCCCTGTCCCTCCCAAGCTGTGGCAGGAGTGTGGCTCTGGCAACAGTGGCCGCCGCTGGCAGCAGACTGTAAGGTCAGCTGGCATGGCAGTGAGAGGCAGTGACGAGGCGACAGCTCCGGAGGACAGGGAGCTGCGGTGGCCGGGGAAAGCGCAGGTGCTCAGGAGGCCCCCGCGGTGCCAGGAGGGGCGGAAGCAGCCGCAGGTCCTGTAGGAAGAGGGCCGAGGGCACCATGAAGCCTCTGGGTGGGAAGATGCCCAGTCTTGTGAGTAAGGCTCCTTGCACCCAAGGAAAATCAACCTTTTCTGTGGAGGGGAATTTGCTCTCAAAAAGAGAAGCACGGGGACAGTCTCAGCCTGCAGGGGCCTCTGTCGTTTTCAGAGAAGCATCTGGCCAGGAAGCACTGTCTTCTGCATCAGGCTCCATTGCAAATGTTAAATAAGCCTGTTTATTTTGAAGGACTGAGGAGATGGTGGTCGTGGTGATTTTAAAAACACTCCAAAGCCTCTGAAAACAGCCAAATGAATCCACCTCCGATTGACATTCTCCAAAGTGAAGCTGTCATAATAAAAGCAAATATCTTTGGAAAGGGGAGCATAGAAAATGGTCAGTGTGTCTTCTCAACGATCTCTTGTGACAATCACTACAGAAAAGTTCTCCCAGCTCTGAACTTTCTATACACACTCAGAAAAAAACAGAAGGGGAATAAACACTCATAAGCAGACATCTGATAAGGGCACTTATTTTTCTGAATTAGGGCAAATAAAAAAAGAAACATCTAAATCTGATGTTCAAACGACCCTTTTCAGTTCGATCCAACGCTCTCCTTCAAAGTACGTCTATAAGTGCCCCAGATCCCTGAGCTGGTTCCTCCCTTTGTTCCTACTGGGCCCGAAAGGCAAACCGCTTCCCCCGTCCATCGGCAACGTTCTGCACAGAATGACACGACACAGATGCTCTTTTCCCATCAAATGAACTTTCGGGCTAGTTCTCTCCTTTGGCCTTTCTGCATCTCCTGGGAGGTGGAAGAAATGGAACTATCCAAATGAGGCCTCACAGATTCTGCTGCAAGTTAGACCGAAGATGAATCGTGTTTTCCTTTGTAAATCAAGAAGCATTTAATAAAAATCTCAGAGATTGAAAAGCATAATGTCAATGTGGATTAAAATCTCTGTTACCAAGTTTCCCAAACTCGAGTGTGCATCTGAATACCTTGGAGAGCCTGTTAAAATACAGCTTCCTGGGCCCAATCCAGGGCCAGATTCAGGAGGTCTCGGGCGGGGCTGGGATTCTGCATTTTCCGGGTGTTGCTGGTCTCCGGGCCCGGCCCCGAGGCCCCTGCTCTCCCCTGTCCGCTCCAGGAGACTCTGCTCAGGAGGGAGGAGGCGTGGACGGCAGGGGAGGCGCTGGAGGGAGGGCAGGACACCCGGGTGCTTGATGCAGCCCCACCTGCCCCAGTACAGTGTGCAGGCCGGCCGGGGCTCGGCCAGGGGACGGGTGAGCATCTCCTCTGTGCGAGGCGCAGCATGGTCGAAAACAGCTCTCAAGTAGGCAGAGGGGGCGGATCTGTGCACAGACCACCGGCACGGACGTCATAGGTACCGTGAAAGATCCACATAACATGACGGGCCTCGGAGCTAAACTCATCCTAGAGATGGCGCTGGCCACAGGCTCTGAGGCACGGAAGGGGACAGGGCAAGGGTGTGGGGACAAGGGGAGCCACCGGATGTCTCCGAGCAGGAGGTGGCACGACCCAAGTGTGGTGCTGGCGCGACTCTTCACTGCTTATGATAAAAACTCACCTCACGTTGTTCTGGGAGGCGGGTGTATGCTCACTGCCTCAGTTAGCCACAAGGTCCAAGTGCAGCTCTGGTTTGAAGGTAAAGAATTCAGACGCTCCAAACAGTATTCCAGATGGGCCACGTGTCACCTCGGCACAGCTGCCAGCTTAGTCCCCGGGGGGGCTGCGGGGGAGACAGAGAGGCCGCCAGCGCCCCAGGCGGATGCGCACCAGCACGGCCACTCTAATCAAAGATACAGACTCTCTCCCAACATTCTCTATCAAAAGTCCTGCAGTTGACATCCACTGGACCCTCTTGGGTCACACGTCCATTCCAGTGAGGCAAAGGGACCTGAACACACAGGTGGTCCCAGCCTAGGACACACGCAGGTGTGGTAAGGCCAAGGCCACTCCCACCTCTCAGACTGAGGAGAAGTGAGGTAGTTTCCCACGAGAAAAGCAGGGCGCTGTTTCCAGGAAGTTTTGTCTATTGTAGGACATCGTGCAGGAAAAAGCAACAAGGAGCCAGTAGAGATACAAATAGGCCCCCAAAGAAGGGGAGCCCATTTAACAGCTGTGCCACCTCTGGGTCCCTGGCCAATGGACTTGGTACGGTCTGGCTTCTATCCTGCCTGGCCCGGGCACCCCCCTGGCCCTCTGTGCCCTCTGCCCCCAGCTCTCTGCTGGAGCAGCAGGAAGCCTGTAAGGGGGGCTGTTCAGCGGCGGGTGGGCTGGGCAACTGCCAAGCCAGGCCAGGCCTGGAAAGGCAGTCGGCGGACCCATCCTCGCCAGTGGGCTGAGCAGCACGGCTCCGCTCAGCCACTGCGCAGGGTCCCCGCGCAGCCCCAAGCCCACAGTCACTCTCCTGGAGGCTCTGGCCCCAGGCCGCGAGGACGCTGCTGGGCGCTTACTGGCCAGGCCGGGGCCACTGCTGCTGCCCGAGCTCCTCACGCTGCACCAACCCCGTCGGGCGCTGGCTGCCAGGGCCGCCTGTGTGCCATAGTCCCGAGCGTCCCCAGAGCCTGTGGCGCCCGCCCTGGCCGCCCCCCAGGGACTGTTCCCCCTCCCGCTCTCTGGAAAGTAGGAGGAAGGGCTGGGGCAGTGGGCTGTCACCCAGGTGGCTGCCCAGGCCCCGCAGGGACAGCTGGTGGATGGGGCTGGACAGCGAAGGAAGAAGGCCCTTGCGTTGGCGAAGGGTTTGGAGTGACTGGTGTGGGAGTCCCAGGCTGGGCGGCAAAGAAAATAAAGCCCAGAGGGGGTAAAAAAGTGGAAGGAGATGGTGGTTGGCAGCGCTGTGCTGGCAGCCAGCAGCCGGGGCGGCGGGATCTGGCTGCACAGGGCAGGCCCCTCTGCCAGCCACGAGCAGGGCCTGGGCTGCACCCGGAGGCGGAGGGCAGCACGGGCCTGGGGGCCGGCCCTGTGCTCTGCCCTGAGTAGAGCCAGCCGCTGCCCAGGGCCAGCCATGCGGGGTCCCCTGAGGGTAGGCTGGGGGCGGTCGATGGCACCGGCAGTGCCTGGGGGGCAGGTGGCCGGCTCTGTCCTGGCGAGAGCACCGACCACGTGTAACTGACCTGGGGCAAAGTCAGGGACAAGCAGAGAAGAGAAAGCAGCCACAGCCGGACTGCGGGCCCGGGCGCCGGCGGAGCGTGGCAGCCTCACTGGAGGGCAACGCAGCGGGATGCGCACTTCGAGCCTGTGTTCCCGTCAGATCGCCTGACTCTGTGACCGGCTGAACCCAGGTGCCGTCTCCATGCCTCGGCATTGCCCAGCAATAAATGAATAAATTCATTATTTTATTCATAATAAAAGCAGCTACGACCATTGCATTCTGCGCTCCGGGCACGAGGCACGGGACTCCTCACTCACACACATCACTCCCCAGCCTTCACCCTACAGACCCTTACAGGTGGGGACTTCCCGCCGCACGGTGAGGGGCGCGCAGCTAAGGGGCTCACCCAGGGCCCTGCCAGGGGGCACGACCCCGTCTCTCCGGCCTCTCAGCTTTCGGCCCCACGCCCCTGATCCCGCAGCAACACTGTACAACCGTTCGGTATCAGTCTTGAGGCTCAACAGAAATGGGCTTTTCAAAAGAAAACTGTTGTCTGAAAAAAGTTCTATAAATGTTCATTGAAAAAATAAACTTTCTTCAGGAACATTGATTTACAAAAAGCTAAAGTTGCAGCTGTGGCAAAAAGGCCTTTGAGATTGGGCAATGGGCTGTTCTTTTGGGACCACAGTGAAATCTGGGGTAGCAAAATTAAACTGTTGCACCTTTTGCAGTGAAGGCGAATCATACAGAATTGTCAGCCAGACCGGAAAACCTGGCAGAGGGGCAAACCCCACAGGCTAGGGAAGCAGCCCCCAAGCCCAAGCCTGCCAAGCCCATCAAGCCCTGTGAGGCAGCCGGGCTGCTGGGCCTCTGCAAGCACCCGGGAACGCCAAAAGGCCCAGGGGCGGGGGGCATGTGGTGGGAGGCAGCCCCATCCCAACTGCCCAGGATCAAGTCCCAGGCCTGAATGCCCAGGTGGGGCACCTCAGACCTTCACCTCTGCCCTGCTGGGCCCTGCCTTCTGCTCTGCCCCCTCATGCCTCCTGGGCTGCTTGGCCTCTGCCACATGTGGGCCTGTGGAGCGACTGTGCTGGGGTTAGACGCCCCCCCACCCCCGGCCCTCCTGCCCAAGTACAGGAAGCCGCCCTCTGCACGGTGGGCATGGCACGTGGAACAGCAGGCTCAAAGGAAAGGCTTCGTTCTCCCATGTCTGGTTTCCTGACTTAGATTCCGACCTACACGCTTGGCTTCTATTAGTAGTTCTACCAGCTCTTTTCCAGGCCAGCAGTTCAGCGCTCTCGGCCCGCGGTCTGTGTGACTGCTTTGCCGTGAGCACCTTCTGGTCCCCGGGTTTGATAATCTGTTCACCAGGGAGCCCGGCTCCGGACAAGGTCGAGCTCGGAGCCTTATCTGACTGTTGGCAGACAGGACACAAGGAAGGTTTCAGTTCCAAGGGTGCAGGTTAACCTAATTTCTGAAATAAATTATTTTTCTAAACTTACCAGCCATAAATCTGAGCCAGTACAGATCATGATTTTTAATCTCAGACGCTGGTAGCGTTACCCAAGACGGAGGCACATAAATACAAACAAGGATGCCCCAGTCCTCCCTTCTTCCTCTGCCACAGTGCAGTCAGCTCCCACTGACGACACCTCTGACCCTGACAAATCAGGCAGCGGCCCAGGAGGCCCCGTGCGGGGCCCGGGAGCAGGGCTTGCTGAGCGGCGCCTGACCTCGACCACATCCACAGGCCATGGCGATTCCCTAGTAATCCTCCCTCCAACCCCACCCTGCAAAATACCCCCCGAAACACATACAATGTATCCATAGAGGTCACATACATGTTAGGCCTCCCCAGGGCTGTACAGGAGGGGCTGCTTCCCCTCGGGTCTAGGGGACTGGCCCGAGAAGCAGGCCCCCAGCAGTCCGTGCTGGCCCTGCGGCCTGTCTATAAATGACTCCAGGAGGCCAGCCCCAGGCCAGCAGGGCCCCCCCACCACTCTGGGACAGTGTCTCGGCTCCGTCCACTGCATCCGATGCACTGAGGCCAGGCTTCGGCACAGCTGTGGGACCTGCAGCAAAGAGGCAGTGTCACTGTGCGGTCACAGGCGGGAGGGGTTTCGATGACGGGCCCATCACCCATCACCCATCACAGAACTGGGCCAACTGCGCACGTGGCAGGTGAGCTCTGCCCCTTGGCCTGCCCCCCTACGGCCCCTTGGTGGCTCGCTGCCCTGGTGTCCCCCCAAACACGGAGAAGGGAGGGCGGCAGTCTGCCCCAGATGTGTCACTGCCCCACCCGCCCACCAGCTGGCCCCGCAGAACTGCGCTCGGAGCTCCTCCCACTCTCCGGGCTGTGCCTCTTGTATTAAATGCAGCATCTCCCGACAAGCACAGCGTCTAAGAAGACTTCCTAGAGCACATCTGTCGTTTGAATGCTATTTACAAATGATGTGAATTGATGTGCCAGCTTTTCCTATATAATCAGTGTTTGATAAACCAACACATGGCATCACTCCCCTAGATGAATCCAGGTATCAGCATCTGTTAAATGTAGCCCCACTTTCCCCAAAGTCTGGGTCAATTAGATTTGACCAGCCGTGCCAGAGCTCTAACGATTAAAGATATGTCTATGACTAGTATGAAGAATGACCTACTTTATTGAGAAAACTCATTAAAAGCATTCCAAAAACAAAGTCAGGTCTGAGAATTTTATGTGTTTTGAAAATGAATCCTTCTTTTAAGTGGCTATAAAAGTCAGTCGCGTAACATCAAAAATTACAAAACCTATTTCTGACTGAACTGAATCTGTTCCTTATATGGGGATCTCCCTGAATGAGGCAACTGAGATTCAGGAAATCTGTTTACAGTAAGGCCATGATCTCATCCCATTAGCTAATCTCCCTTAGTAAGGGTAAGGGGAAATAGCCAAGAAATTTACCTACTGTTTTCCAAAGAGAAAGTTGTAGGATGCGACTTTCATGAACACTTATTCACTGTGAATGATGCCATGTACAAGGGCCATAAAAACGGGTTAAAGGCTAACAACTGGACATTACTAGACAAAACTCCAAGATGGGTCAGCTGTAACACTGATGTGACGGACTAAAAGGTGCTCTCTGGAGTGTGTGGTCTTCTCCAAATGGTTTTAAATGTGGTCATTCAATGATTAAATGTGAGACGTAAATACGTGGAGTGTGTGATCAAAGTGTGATGCCGTGGGGACAGGCGGAGGATGCTGCCTGCTGTGTGGTCCGCACACTGTGCCCAGCACCAGCCAGGCGGCCATCACCACAGCACACATGCAACTGTCCACAGGACACACACAGAGTAGTAGTAAGTCGGTGACTGCAGTATTTACAGTTAAAGAACACTTTGGAAACATGCTAACAGCCTCTTTTAAAATGCTTATATGGACCAACGCTATGGAAGGTGAGTGCACAAAGACAGGGCAGCATGAAGAAATTCTCCTGGTATGAGACCCCAGGTGGCACTTTGCCTTTTATTACTAGGACAGGATCTGCCAGCAGCAGTCACTTATTCTTGCTGAGGGTTCTCTGCTTTTCTGCATGCTCCACGATCTTCTCTTCCACATGGAGGCCCTTCCGCTTTCGCACAGCATTCATGTACTTCCGGGCCTGGCTCTCGGAGTCAGCCTTTTCCCCAAAGTGCAAGTATTCCTCCTCGGTGGTTGGCACCCAGAAGGGGTCACTGGGGATGATCTTGTAAGAGAAGGTGACAGAATGTGCCTAGTTAGACTTCCCAGCACCAACAACTCATGTAGCCTCGGCTAAAGGACACGCGTCAAGCGGAAGCAGGTTGGCCTGCTGGGAATGGCAATGAGCACAGGGGGTGAAACAGAAGCGGGTCAGCAATGCCTGTAACATACACGTTCTTCCCTGCTCACAGAGGGGCCATTATGTAACGGTAAGGAAAGAAAAACTATTAATTGTGAAAATATAATAAAAAAACCTCTCTCTCCCTTCCCCTAGGATGTGTGTGGCTCTCAGTGCCCTCTCCCCGATTCCGCCTGTGTCCCCGGCACAGACCAATGCATGTAAGCCCATCGCCGAGCTTGTGCTCCAGAACCCGGCGGGGCACCTGCTGAACTGGAACAGGCCCACCGCATGTTCTGCCGGGGCCACAGGCAGACATGCACAGCCTCCTCTCCACCTGTCTCGGTGCTCAGGCGCCTACCCTGATGCCGAGGAGACAAGCTCAGGGGCAGGCGTGCTGAGGACAGTCCCAAGAGGCTCCTCCAGAGGGAAGGGAGAGGGCCGAGCTCAGCCCTCTGAGATGACCAGCAGCCAGGCCCCCACATCCAAGGCGGTGGTGAGCATGGACGTGCACTTGCCAGAGGTCCACACCTGAGGGACTGACTCCAGGACGGGCAGAAGGGTGTGTGTGCCGCACCTGCCCCCCAGCACCACTGCAGGAGGGCAGCGCCCCAATGGCTCCCCTCAGGTAGGAGAGCTCCATGAGCCACACACTCCTCGCCTCCCCAGGCCCCACCACCCGGTCCCCATGAGGCTCAGACTGGTAAGGGCAAGAGGGGAAAGCAGATGTGGGCAGGCTGGCCCCCTTCCTTCTGCTGGAAGCCAGCTGCTGGCAGGAAGCACACAGTCTGCTCGGCTCCCCCACGCTCTTTACAGAAGCCAGCTTTGACCCCACCAGGAGCCCCGCACAGTGCAGCCGGACTCGGGACACTGGGGTTCGGCCCCGTCACAGGCCACGTCCTCCCAGATCAGCTTCATTAGCAATAAAGGTGACACTGTGGCCTTTATCTGCTTTATTCCTTTTGCAGCTGTTTTTTCTTATTTCTTCACTGCAGGGAAAGGAGTGCTATTTATTGAATGACCTCAAATCCCAACACTTTTCAATTTAAGATACAGAAATTGCAGAAAAATTTGAAAATCGTCACTCTTCCACACAAGAAAGGGAGATTTCTGTGGACCAGGAAAGGGGAGGCTTTTGGAGGGAGAGAGGGGAGCCCGCAGCAGGAAATGGGGGCAAAAGCCCCAGCCATCGCCTGCAGGGAGCTAAGACGGAGCCGGGAGGCTCAGTGCCTGTCTAGGATGGGCCCCAAGTACGCATCCCGGGCACAAGGGGCCAGAAGCGCCCCCTCTCCTCTGGCGGGGGAGCAACCACGCCTGCCCAGGGCTGTGGCTGGAAGCGAGCTGGACAGGACGACACGCGCCATCACACTCTGGGGTCGGACTCGGCTGTGCTGAGCCGGCTGTCCCACCCCTCCTGCTGGCCAAGTCACTGAGCTGAGCCTCTGCAAATGACACAGAGCAGCGGCACTCGGGGGGACAGGGAGGAGGTGCCTCGAATCCCAGCAGGAAGGCCACTCCGCAGCACAGCGCCGGGAGGAGAGAACTCCCCCGAAGGTGACCTTGCCCTTGAGGGCTGCAGGGAAGTCCAGCACCATGCGAGTCACCAGACGCAACAAAAGGGAGAATTCGTAATCAGACAGGAGGGTGAGTAACAGAGCGATCTTAACAGAAAACCAGAGTTCATTAAAAATCCACCAAGAAATAAAGGGGGGGGGATAGTACCCATAAAACAGAGACAAAGAACTAGAAAAAAAGTTTAGACATTAAAATAAAAAAAGAAAGTCAGAAGGTACGTTAACTAGAAACTGCTCAAGGGAGAGTAAAAGACAGACCTGATGTTCAGAATATATAAAGAACTCTTACAACTCAACAAGACAATCCAATCAAAATGGGCAAAAGATAGGAACCGACATTTCTCCAAAGAGATACACAGAGCCACAAAGCCAATGAAAAGACACTCAGCCTTATTTAGTCGTTAGGGAAACCCAAGCTGAAACCATCATGAGGTACCACCTCATACCCACCAGGACGGCTACCAGTAAAAAGAAAAAGGAAGACAGAATCTAGAAGCCTTGTACTTTGCTGATGGGAAGATAAAGCGCGACAGTCACGGTGGAGAACAGCTGGGGGGTTCCCCAAAAGTTAAACAGAATTACCACCACAGGACCCAGCAGTTCGGGCACTCGGTACCTAATATCCGAAAACAGGGACTCCAACAAGTACATGTACCTGCAAGATCGACAGCCCTCTTCACAACAGCCAAAAGGTAGGGAAGCCCAAATACTCACCAAGTTACAGTGCACACACATAGCAGGGTGGCACCCTGTGTGCAGTGACGGGCACCCCGCATAGAGACCAGCACACAGCCATACAAGGGCACTGCTCCATGCTGCCACGCGAGGCCCCGGAAACAAAGCGACAGAAGCCAGACAGAAGCCAGATGACATCATTTGTATGAAATGTGCATAATGGATAAACCCATAGGTAGGATGCAGACTGATGGCCACCCAGGGCCGGCAGGGGAAGGCTGGGAGGGGGAGAAACGGCGTAGTGGGTAAGGAAGGAGTCTGAGGGTTAGTTTTTTGTGTTAGCCCGGCTGGGTCACAGGTGCCCAGACATCTGGTCAAACGTCCTTCTAAAGCAGACGTCCTTCTGATAGGATGAGCCATCCTGTTGCTTGAGGGCCCAAACAGAACAAGGCTGAGCAAGAGGGCGTTCTGCCTGCCGAGTGCTGAGCCAGGACACGGCTCTCCTGGGCGTCCCGCTTGTGGCTGCGGATGGGGGGACGCCTCAGCCTCCATGATCTTGTGGGGCAACTCCTTAAAATAGATTCCTTTACCGGACATGGGTATACGCCTCCTAGTGGGTCCAGAGTTCTACTTTGGAGGGACAGACATGCTTTGACAAATGTGGTGGTTGTGTATTATTGTAATAATGCAGGATTGTAATACAGGCAACAAAACTTTTTATGGTTAATTTTATGTTCTGTGAATTTCACCTCAATAAATTGTATTTAAAAAAAGAGACTGAGTCATTATCCAAAACACAACAAGACAGGTATTAGAAAAAGAAGAAAAGTTCAGAGCCATAAAATATGTGTAGGATGCATCTAACAGGAGTTCTGAGAATGAGAGATCACAGGACAGGAGTCCTCAGACTGACATCCGAACACTGGGAAGGACGACGGGACTGCCCAGGCCAGCCAGGGAGAAACGCGGCGTGGCCAGGGCACAAGCCCTCTGAGGCTCCTCCTGACACACCAGACCCCACCGACAGAGCTGCGGCCCCAGCCCCTGGATGAAGGCTGGAGCCAAAGCACCTGCACCCGGCGCTGAGGCGGATACGGAGACACCGGGGCAGGCGGGTCCTCCAGGGCAGGGCGGGCCGATGGCTGCTTGGCAGCAACACGCCCAATCCGTGTGCAAGCTCGGAGCCTTGCAGCGTGGCCGGCACTGGACCCAGGGCAGGCATCCAGGCCCCTAGGGATCTGTGTGACCTCAGTCATCCTGCACCTCGGCTCTCTCACTTTCTGGGTGTGGTATGAGCAGCCCTAACCCCACAGCTGTCTGAGGACTGAACGAGCTCGTCACCCTGTGCAGCCACACCAGGGCTGTGGTGAAGCACAGTGCTGCCTCCCACACACCGCGGGGACAGAAGCCCAGGGCCCCCCAACTGCAGGCACAGCTGGATGAAGAGGGAGGGGAGTCCCACGCAGGCAGTGTCTCCGTGTGCGTTTAGGGAGTCCCCAGCTGGCGGCTGGGACAAGCACCCCAAGACCTGCTGCTGCCTTTTGCGCCCTCACAGACCCCTTTGCTTCCAGCCCCCTCTGGGGACCCATCTGTCCCTCCTTGTGTAAGCACAGCCCAGGGCCTTCGGCTGGGGCAGGGGGTGCGTGCAGATGCAAGGAGCCCTGTGTCACAGGTCCGTGTCTGCAGAGGGAGCCACAGTCTCCAGGCCGCCGTTAGCATGGCACGGGCAGGCCATGCCACCGGGGTCCTGCAGGTGCAGACGGATGTGCCATTCTGGGGGCTCACTGCAGGGAAGACCACAGAGTGAGGACCCCCGCGACGGGGTTGGGGCCCGTGCGCCATGGCCGCATGCAGACTGCCCTGCCCGCCCCCCACACATCCAGCCCCGCCACTCACTGGCTGTGTGTGCCAAGCACTCACACAAGCTCCCTGAGCCCCGTTCTCACCAGAGGGCAGACTGGCTGGAGCCCTCCTAATACAAGGACTGCCCTACGCGTTCCCACAATCCCCTCACCTCCTCTGAGGCTAAGCCTGAGGTCAGGGAGGTAAACCCAGCTGGCAAGTGGCATGCATTTGCCTGTAAAGCAGGCCTCCCCATGGACTTCCTGCCAGGCTCCTACGCTCTTCTCCCACGATGGGCCTCAGAAGATACGAACGACTGTTTCTCTTTGAGGCAGGCGCCCTCCGTGCATGCTTGATAAGTGTATGCTGACTTAATAAAGTGCATGCCTGCGTGGACTACAGGAAGCTCAGCCCATTATAAGAAGTGGGTATTTTCTCCTGTTCTCCTGAGGAACACTAGTACGCAGACACTGCAAGCGTCTCAGAAAACTTGGACGAGAAACCACGCTGGTGTGTGTACCGCTGATGCCCGAGTCCCCACACCCTGGTGAGTGGGCCTAGGGGCCTGGAGGAGCCGGTGGAAGCCTGGGGGCAGGACAAGGGCAGCTGCGGGGCACCCCCGACTGGACGCTAATGGTCAGCACGGGACCCCTGGCTTGGCTGGTACTGCCCCACTGGCCCCCGTGGCCCAGACAAAGCCGCTTCCCAGAGCAGTGAGGACTCCGAGGGTCCTGCACCGAGCAGAGGCTTGCTTTCTGTCCCCACCACAGAGTCCCAGACGCCCTCCAGTTCTTAGCGAGGCTAAAGGGAAGAGTCGGGAGGTGGAGCACGCCTGGGTGGCCCTCGAGGACAGTCCCTACCTGGAGGGCCAAGCTGGAGGTGCCCTCTCCTAGCCGGCTGGACAACAGACCTACCGTGGAATGTAAGGAAGCTACATTTCCTGCAGGTCAAAGTGGCAGCGGTGGGTCACACTTGTGATACTGTTTAAAAAGTGATGAGTTTCATCAAGAGAATTAAGCTGCCCTCTCTGCGCACAGCCCCGCCACCCGGGGCCCCTCCAGAGAGACCCCGATCGCCTGCCCTGGGGGGCAGCTGCCCACGCGTCCTGGCCTCGCCCGGCAACTGCTGCTTGGGCCTCACACACCCACACCTGGGGACACCAGGAGCTGCCGCCCCAGCAGGCCGAGCACCCTCAGGGCAGGGGGCCAGGGGAAACCCCGACCAGTGGGTCCATTTGGCATTTCCTTGGCAAGGCAACGACGGGGTGATCCGAGGCCAAGCAGGTCGTGCTCTGCAAAGGGGCACCGGGAGGCCGTGGAGCAGGGCTCACCACCCGTTTGGAGGGAAGGGCTTCCCTCTGACCAGCGCCCTGCGAACCGCACCGCCAGTGAGAATGGTCTCTGCAGCCCCTCGGCCTGGGCGGTGCCATTTTCTGGTCCACAGGAAGGAAGGACCCCACGTGCTGACTGCTGCCCTGGGCACTTAAAGAAGAAAAAGCAGAGAAGGAAAATGCTTTCGATGTTTGGCCCAGAGCACCCTCTGATCACGGCAGGCCCAGCCCCGGCCTCCGCAGGACACCCGCCTCCCCGCGCCCTGCGGAGCCGCCGCCCCGCCCGGCCGCCTGTTCGGGGCGCCTCTGAGGCTCCGCGCCGCACATGCAGAACTGCAACGGCTGCTGATACTTTTCTTTCTGCGACTGTTATTAGCTCCTTTTCTTCCTCTTTCATGGAAGGGTGAAACACAGAAAGAGAAATTAGGAGACTGCTGACTTCAAATGCTTCTTCTCGGAAAATGCCTGTAATTTTATTTTCTCTATTTTTGAAGCACTTCCTCTCAAAGGCCCTTGATTGTGAATTGCATGGTTGGTGGAACACAAATGAAAAGCAGACGCCTCGGAGTGAGAAGCCAGCTCCCGATGACCGTGTTATTTCTAGATCTGACTGGGGGGGAAACTGAGAGGGCCAAAAAGACACCCGATCAACGCATTTAATTATAATGTAGTTTTCAAGACTTTCAGAGATCTGAAGCTTTTGGGAACAGGCCCGTGGCAGGTGGCAGGGGAATGACAGAAGGATGGTATAAACTGGGCAAGCTTTTTACTACATTTCTTTAAAGTTGTTTATAAGAGACTGATTTTTAATAAGAAGCTGTAACTAACCACAAACTAGTATTTTTTAAAAACTACCATTAAGTGTGTAAGAAAGATTTTTCTTTTTTTTATTTGAGAGCAGACTGGAAACCATCCTGGTCTCCACATTAACAAAACTGACAATTTGGTGAGAACATGTTGTTTTTAAACCCTGTTCCCTGCTTCCTTGCTAAAAGGCACGTCAGGTGGGCAGGGAGGCCGCCTAGGACCTGGGGGCTGGGCACACACTTCTCCGCAGAGCCAGAAGGGACACCGTTCAGACACACACACACCGACTCTGCTGCAACTCAACCCTGCCTGAAAGCAGCCACAGAAAGTGCATCAACGACAGTGGGCACGGCTACTCTCACCGACTTCACCCACCAGGACAGGCACTGGGTACAGCGTGCCACCTCTGGATGTGGTTAAAGACCCCTCCCCGCAGCACAGCTGGTCTTGGCACTGGGAGGCAGTGAAGTCACATGGCTTTAAAGGGAAGAAATGTGTCCTCCTCTACCATTCCCCATCCTTAACAGCTGGAATGCAGACGTGATGGCGAGAGGTGAACAGCCACTTTGGAGACCATCAGCAGAAGCCAAGCATTGAGCGAGACAGCACATCAGAAGCGCCCCCAATGCCTCGCGCCACAGGGAGCCACCCCCACCACCCCCCGGCTCTGGCCTGACGCAACAGAGAATCTTCTGCCTTATTTGAACCACTCTTATTTTGAGATCCCTTTGACAGAGCAGCCTTACCTGTTTCCTAATTAATATAGCTGCCAGTTAGGAAATGATGAGAACTTTATAGGTTTTTTTTAATGTGCCTCAGGGAACCACTTTCAAGGATAAGACTGACTGTGAAATGATGGGATATATTTAACAAACAACAGAATATATGAATTAAATTCTTCCAACAGCTTTGAATGCCCGTATTTCCGGAGAACCCCAGGGATCATTCACTACACTCTGCTCTGACCAGACGTCCCACTGCGCTGGTTTTGGCCAGTGCTGATGGAGGCCGTCTTCATGAGGAGGACAGCCTGTCACCTCTACGTAGCCGGAAGCCTGAGTGGCAGCTCGGAAGGCAGTTTCCAGCAATGCCACACCAGTGAAGAAACTGTCACCTCTCAACGTCATTGCTTTGAAGCTTCACTTCTACATATTTCATGGCCCTGCCCCGTGATCACACATCTGGTTCCTGAACACCGGGGAGAGACCAATATTTTGCACCAAAGCATCGGTAACGTACGTACACTACACAGTTCTTATTTTTGAGAAGTTGCCTTTATAAATCCATTCTTTCTATTTCTTACCAGTTTGTGTTCTTGTTACAAAAGAGGTGAGTGCCAGAACCAAAACCAAAAAGCCAGGATTCCAGGTGCGTGGGAAATCACCACCATAAACTTGGGGACCAACAACACATGTTTTGGAGCTACTGTTTTCTATGTAATAAAATACAACTGAGACATCTACTCAGATCTAAGTCAATAAAACCATCAAAACATCATTTAGTTTCTGAATAAAGAAACAAAATCCAAGAAACACTTCATAGAAAATCACTACTAAAATACAGATTGTCCTGCAAAAAAAATAAAGTGACCTAAACCATCAGTTCATTATTAACTTCGGTTCCATCGGGCATTATAATGTGTATTTTTCTTTAAGGAGAAGCAGACAAAGTGAGTGTTCTGGACACGCAACTTCACTCCCGTCGATTTAGATGATGTGAACTTGCCCGATTTAAATTAAGTCTGTCCATGGGAAATTTTTCTGAAGCGTTACCTTTCTTTACTTTGTGGACTCACGTGACTATAAAAGTCATTTCAAAAAGAAATTCTCCCTCAATTATTCCCATTCCCCTTTATTATCTAAATTTGAACTATTCACGTAAAGTGCTTTAAAGAAAGAAAGAAAAGTGAGATAAATAAGAACAGCGGCGCATTGACTCTAAAACCACGGGTTTCCTTTAAATACGAGTTTAAGGCAAAGAGCCCGGATTTCGGTGTGAAGCCTGGCGCAGGACCACGCCACGCTGCGGTGGGCAGTGAGTACGGCCTGGACCCCTGGACGCTGCGGGAAAGTGACCCGCCAGCAAGGGTGCTCAGCGCCTCTCTGCCAGGGGTGCGGGAGGCCCCACAATCCGCCCCGGTAAGAGGCGGGCGGGCCGCGCGAACCCAGGACTCGGACCCCGGGGCAGCGCGCCTTAGGCAGGACCGCGAACCTCCGGGGTAAAGGCGGGCAACGTGAAGCTATTTAGGTTCCCCGCAAACAGTGACAATGGAAACCACTTTCTTAAAACCTTTCCACTTACACCCTACAGTTTAAAAATCCTGCCCTGGGCCCGAGGCTCGGCCCCGACCCAGAACTGCTCTCTGCAGGCGCCCTTGGGTTTCCCTCGCCCGCATGCCCCCCTCGGGGGCCTGAACGCCTACTTCCCCTTGGAGGACCCGCCCAGGAAGGCCCACCTGCCCTCCCACCCCCTTATTATTCTCTCCCCCTAAGTTAAAAAAACACTGCACTCACTAGAGACCTTGAATCTTCATAATAGGGACTGAGGAGTACGTACTACACAATAATTCAAAGCTGCCCCTTGAAAGATGGGTAACGTTCTACTCTAAATGCTGGGATTTTTTCCCGCAGAAAAGTTCCTTAAAGTTTCACTTTCAAAATGTCCGTGATTTTCCTTTCAAAAATCTAAAATACACCTTTAGAGAGAAAAAAAAGGAATGAATGTTCTTAAGCTTTACATCACATAAAAAGAAAGGAGCATGTGAATGTGTATAAGCCACGTGCAACCGAAGGAGCCTCCGCCCCGGGTGAAGGTAACTGAACGGGCAGAGCCGGCGGGCGCCGCAGGGAGAGGGCAGACCCGCGGGAGGCGCGCCCGAAGGGGAGCGGGGACGGGGGGCGGCCGTTACCTCCCAGTGGCTGAATACCAGCTGCGGGCTGGCCAGGCCGCTGGTCCGCTTCCGGATCTCGTCGGCGAAGCCGAAGCTCTCCGCGACGGGCAGCACGGCCCTGATGATGAACATGTCCGTCCCCTCCTTCATCTCTTCCTGCAGCACCCGGCCTTCCCTCTTGGACAGCACGGCGTAGACCCGACCTGCAAAACCGCACGTCTTTTACGTTCAGGGACCCGCTGTTTCTACGTCTACACAAAGACCTGATGACTCGCATGCCCTGTAACAGTCACTGGGTAACTTTGATCCCGAAAACTTTTATTTGCAAAAGCACGGAAGACTCTATCTAAAGTGTTTATTTTAAAAAAGTTAAGCACAATTATAGAAAAATTAGAGACAAAAGATAAAAGTGAAATCACCCTAAATCGCATTAGTCGATCCCCTCAACACAGTGTGCGAAGCAGGAGACTTTTAAAGGGGCCTTTCAATACAGTTTCACCATGAGCTGACTGGATATGAAATCCAATGAGGAATATGACTGGTTTCTGTAAATATTAAAATCTTTTGATTGTGAGACATTATTAATGTGATGGTGAGAATGATGGTGATGACAGAGGTTCTCTGGGTCCAGTGTGCAACTGGCACAATATTTTTATACTAAAAACTAAAACCACACATATGTAAACGATTGCTCATACTTTTATACTGGTAGCATCTAAGTGGCTTAAGAGTTTCAGTCCCCTGAAAACTGATAGCACTTGGAACCTTTCAAGTCTGGTAACTTTAAAGATTTGGAGATGAACCTTAAAGACTCTCCTGCCGCTCCACAGGCATTCTGGCAAACGCTTTTGGCTGGCACTCTGTTCCCTCTGCAGGCCCAATTCCGCCTCACACCTGGGGGGCACACTCTCCCCCTCTGCTCGGCTCCTGAGCACCCCGGGGGCTACAAGTCACCTGCGAGCTGGGAGGCTGAACAGACTGCAACGAACAGAGATAAACTGAAATCACAATTGCGAGGCATGTGCTGGGGCTAGAAGATTACTCTCATTAAAGCCTCCTTTTTCACCTACCTCTTAGGAAAATAATTTTGATAATGTAAGCGATCTATGAACTTATCCTTAAAGATGTGCAAAATTGCACTTAATAGAGCACAGGTCTCCTCTGACCACAGTAGGTCATAGGCTCTTCCTTCCTAAGGAACAGGCCAGTGACTTGGTGGGCCTCCCACCCACCTTTGTTTATTTTTAAACTAGGAACTGAGGACACAGAGCAAAACACTGTTTGACTCCCAAACTTCTTCTCGGCTCAGATTTCCCCCTGGTGGTGGTGGTTGGGAAGGACAGAGGGAAACAATCGGCCGCAAACCCCTCGCGTCGGAAAGCCTTAGGAGTGAAAAAAAATCTGGGCCTTCCTCACCTCTAGGTTTTGCTTAAAAACAAATTAAAATCCTGTCACGGAGAAGGCTCCTACGCTTGTCTCTCTGTTTCCTAACTGGGAGCTTCTCAGTTCCCCACTGCGTACGCTCTGTCAGATACCCAGGGCTTCATTAAAACTACTTCCTTGAAATTTCACAGTAGTTTTCATATCTTAAGTGTCTTTTCCTCAGCCTTCATTCCCCATGATTTCTCTGCTTCTGAAGCTACTGGGCAACCCCTTCCCCCCACCCCAGGGCTGCTCTCCCCAATTATTAGATGCACCCCGAGGCCTCGGCCCTCCGACCATCTTTCTACTGCCCACCTCAACAACAAAGGTGTGATGTCTTCCTAGAGTATTCTTTGAGGCTCCATACTCCTCTCTGAACAAATTCTCCCCTCAGAAAGCCAATTAACGTCTGTGTGGTTTAAACTACTGATTTTATTCCTCTGCCTCATGACACTCCAATAGTAAGCCGGGCCTCTCACTAGACCTCCGATTCCACATTGTAAGTTACAGTGACTGCCAGGACATCTCCGCACAATGTCCAACTCCTGTTACATTCATTGAGTCTGAGATAAATCCATTACCCCCTGCAAAAGGCAGCCCCACTCTCCCAATTCTGAACAGTCATTTCACCATCACTTCTACAAGAAATCTCAACAGTTAAAGAATCACAGAACACTGGGTTAGAAGGGGACCTAAGGGTCACCTCAATCCGCTTGTAGGCTTTCTGAAGTCTCTTCTTCCCAGGGAAATTCCAATTTTGGCACCCTAACTAGTAGACAGATCTTGAGCCCCAGATCAGCTCTCCTGAAGTTTCTAACCATTAGTCCTAGTTTTTACCATGTAAGTTTAGTCCCTCCTCCACAGATCAGCCTGAGCTGCATGAAAATACCACCCAGCCTTCTCTTTTCCAGTATAAACACCCCCAGCCTTTCTGTGATGGACCTTATTTCCTGTTCCATCCTGACAACTGCCTGTATGAACTACTACAATTCACTACATCCCTCTTGGAATGTGGTACCCAGAATGGAATGGCACACTTTAGGTATAGTCTGAAAAGTGCTGAGAAAAGCAGAATAATTATCTTCTCAGCAATCCCTTTTAGGTTATATATTATTTGCCTGAGGTCTGTAGAAGGAAAAAAATTATAATAGCTGATGTGTAAGATACTAATCTTTATTTACTCTGCTGCTCTCATTCTAAGAAAAGTTTTAAGGTGGTTTATGGAAGTAAATACGAAACAACGGAGTGGGGAGGGAGAATGAGTGAATTGGGGCAAACAGGCCACAGGGTGGGGCCAGTGGGGCGGAGCGCTGACAGCCACCGCAGGGCCAGCAGCCATCGTGGTCATGCCAGCAGGCTTGGATCAGTAATTGTAATCAAAACTGAATGGTGATTTGAGCCATTCAACTTTAATCCCACTTAAAACTAAATCCTGAAGCTGGGGCACAGGGATGGATCGCGGAACGAGGCCAACGGCCGCGAGTCTCCCCAGTGCACCTGGCTCTCGTGACGTGCGCACCCAATGCTCAGATGCACTCAGAGACCCTCTAAACCTGCCACTGAGCCATATCAACATGGATTTCTGATCAAGTGGCCTGAGTATTTTGATACTCAACTGCTTGTCCCATCATACGTCAGTCATCTGTTGTTCACTCACTCAAAGAAAATCACTGTAGCCTGATGCACGCAAGGGAAGAGGCATCCATCAGGGAAAACCGGCAACAGAAAGGTCCGCTGATTCAGTTGGTCAGGGCTCGACTTTTAATGCCTGCACTGTGAGCGTCTCAGCCTGTACTCAGGCCCTCCACGGCCCGGCAGTACCTCACTACGGCAGCTCGCGCAGCTGCAGACCCCAGAGTCCATAGCACAGACCCTCTGCGAGCAGCCGAGGCAAAGCTCACGGCCCCCTGTACGTTTGAGGTTCCCACTCTGAGCTCATGGTGTCTGCAACCTATGATACTCTCAGCCCGCTCAACAAATTCTTTTCATCATTTAAAGTCTATTCAAAACCAACCTGCTCCACAAGGTCTTCTGTGACACCCCAAAATCAAAACACTCTCTTCCCCATCTGGACTTGATTGAACCTAATCTTTTGTGGCATTACAGGCTCCTGTATAGACTCTTCTTCCACAATAGGCAGTAAAATTGGTCTACAGCCTCTATAACCTTTATAGCTGGAAGCCTGGCAATTAAAGGTATATTGTTTTTTGGGTTTTTTTTTTCAGAATTTAGGAAAGGAGGCAGTTGTTCACAGCCATGTTTTCTCTGACAGCAAACAGGCACCAATGTGAAGTTCCAATTCAGGAATGACGGGAAGTAAATTACTGCATATTTAATTAACAGGATATAATGCAGAGATTAAAATGAAAACAACGAATACTGAGTATCCAAGTGGAAGCATGTTTATAAAATAAACAAATGTAAAAAGCCAAACATTAAGCTGTTTCTACCCTAAGGTTATAGCTGCGCACAATGTACTGTTATGGACAAAGATTGTGAACAAAAATGGAAATGACAGGTTGACTTCCAAGGAGATTTTTGTTTTGTTTTGTGGTTTGTTATTGTTAGTAACACTTGTGGTGTAACTTCAAGTACACACACACACACACACACACAGAAATTGGCCAGCACTCTGTATTCTTCTAAAAAAGGTCACACTAACTCCTTTCTTCTTGTCACACAACCCGTCTGATAAATCTAGCAGACGTGGTCGACAGGAAGTGATGCACAGCCAAACATGGAATAACGAACGCTGCAGCCACGACGGGCATGGTGGGCTGGCAGCTGGGGTCCAGACGAATTCAGCTGGACATTTGCAGGCAGTGGATGTGGACAAGCCGCCCCCATCCCGGGAGGATATGTCCCCGTGAAGAGTCAGGGCTCTGCTCACAGCTTCGTGCTCTCACAGGACACTCAGCAACTTAAAGATTCAGGCAAGACGATCAAACCAAAGTGGACACAAAGCTGGCAGGATGGTAAGGACTGCGACAGAATCAGGATAACTAGGTAAGGACCCGAATTTCCAAGACGCAAGCCAGCGAGGGTAAACACAGGGTTGCACAGTTGGGGCCAACGAAGCGTCCAGGGCTGCAGAGGTAATGCTGACCAGCAGTTCCCATGGAACCTGCCAGGAGGGGGTCTGCTTACGTCAGCAGTGGCTCAGTGTTTTAGTACAAAGGAAGCCAATTTCAATAGTTGCTGAACTCAAAAGTACTATATCCATCAAAGCCCATTTAATTTCTCATAAAATTTCACTGGAAAACTATTTATTCATTAAATTCAACTGTATCTTACTTTCTGTTTCGCATAATTAAGCTTTGTCACCTTGGCTCAGCTTTCAAAGCAGGAGTCATGCTAGAAAATACAGCTCAATGAAGTTTTGTTGAATTTGAAATGCAGAAACAACCTCAAGGAAGGAGTAAGAAAAGTTTTTTACAAGTAAACAGTGATACTTACTAAGAATATTTCTGATACCTTAAGGCACAAACTTTCTAAGAATGCAAGCATCTACCCTGACCTGGAAACAGGGAAGGATAATTACAACCATCACAGGGTGATCCCAACGGTAATGCCAGCAGAGAAGTGGTTTTTTATGTGTGATGCTCTTGTCAAAGACAAGAACAATGAAGGGCAAGAATGAAAGGAGGTAACAGGTTGCAAGAAACATGAAGAGACACCTTGCTAGTCACACGAAAATTAACAACGCAAACCGATGCTGATGCCCGTTCAAGCCCATTACCACTTCTCATGGGTGAATAGTGACAGCAGAACTGCTCCTTTAGGAAGGTAGGGCTTACAAGGAAAGGTGGTCATAATTCTTGGGATTATTTCCCCATACAAAATGATTTTGAGATGACTGCTTGGCTACGAAATTCCCCATTTTGACACCAGAAATTTTACCCATTTATAGGAGTTCTTGTTTTAACAATCTGGGTAGAAAGAACTAAGTCTTAGAAAGAGACTCAGGAAACTCATGTTGCTGCACAAAAGCCCGAACTTTGCCTTCTTACTGGTCTTGTGCCAGTTCTTGGGGAATGAAGGCAACGGTCCGTAAGGCTGAAATTGCAGGTCTCTGACTAGCCAGGCAGGAAGCGAAGGCTTAGGAACGCAGAGGCCTCATTTCTCTTTCTGGTGGAAGGTGGGTCAGAAAGAAAAAGGAAGCACATGTAAACAGCTGACTGACCTGATAAACCTTGGGTACCAGCCACGAGCTACCATTACCCCCTCAAGAGCAACGCGTGAGCGGGCTTAGGAGATCCTCTGATCTATGCGAGAGGACTTCAAACCAGTCCAGGAAAACCAGAACCAAGTGAGGCCCAGACCAAACCTTGACGGGCCTCTCTGGGAGGCAGTGGCTGTGGCAGCCACTCCGGCCGGGCTCTAGACACGTGTAAGGCCGGCCAGACAGCGGTAGAGCCCGGGTCCTGACCCATCCACACACAGCCAGCTGCCGTTCCACGGGCTCGGGGAGGCCCAGCACTGGGATCTGTACCTGGACAGGAGAGGCAAAGACTGCTTTTGCTCCTGAGAGAGAAGAGGGCAAATAGCTCTGAAGGTCAGGGTGTGCATCTCTTCCTAGAAAGTTCCAGAACAGCCTGAAGGCTGGGTTAAGAGTGCTAGGATGAAGATAAAAGGGAAGGATGTCAAGTGATAGTCTGAGGGACTATCTTAGGGCTGCATGGTTCCATGTAGGGTCCCGGCACTGATTTCCTAATAGAAATGAGAAAATGGACATAGAGAGTTGACCCAATTAAGGAGACTCCACAGTCCACTGGGAATTTCAGTCTAATAAATACCAGCAGCTGATTCTGGCTTCATGTGCTGTGCTGAGAATTTGTCTCCTCAGACAGCAACGGACAAATGCCACTCCGAGAGGGTAATGCGGGGAGTCCAAGGGGGGAGAAAGGTCAGGCACAGACCGTATGGCCCCTGAACCTTAGGAAGGGCCGTTTGAAACACACAAAGGAAAACAAACACAACAAGCTTTGGTATAGCGACCCTGTGATAAGACTCCTTTCGGGAGTGACAAGAGCCTGAAACACCACGAGTGACCCCAGAGGAGGAGGAGGGGTCCTCCCCACACGACATCCGACAGCAGCCCCACAGCGCATCTGCCAGGTCGCGGGAGGCACGCCGCCCGCCTGCCAGCCCCCGTCCTTACGAGCACGGGCACAGCAGGTGGGAGATGGAGTGATCGACGAAGTGTGCAGGAGCGGCATGTCCGGGGCGCAGAAGCCAGAACAAGCTGAGCCTGCCAAACACAAGAGCTAAGGACGACAGAAAGGGTCTTTTCCACTGAAGTACGGATGAGACGTGCCTTCCAGCCACGAGAAGCCGGCGTGCTGCTGACAGTGGACAGCAGGACACAGAGCTCCAGACACCTGTGTCCTCCCGTCCCTCCTCAGTCGGGAGAATGGGGAACAAGCTGCGGCAAAGGAGAACAGGACAGAGATCAAGGAAGTTCAGGGCGCGGAGAAGGCGGTGAGCATGTCGTGCTTGGCCTTCCTAAGTGAGCTGAAGTGTCCAGGACCAGAATTCTCACGGTCCTAAAGAAACTGCCCTTTGGGGAACTATGGATAGCAGGGTAGCTGCCAAACTTCAAGTAAAAGGTAAATAATAAATGAACTTGTTGCGAATAAAAACACTGGATTCCATAAACTACAGACTAGAAAGCCATAGCTCACTTCCTGCAGAATTTTAAGAAAATACTATGAAGATTTGCACATATTTATTCAAGTAGGAGGTAACAAGCCTTTGGAGGGGTAGGGGCTTTCTGTCCATCTGTACGTATTTGTTCTGCTAATACGGTTAAGTTGATAATTAGGGGAATACTGCAGGTATAAAGGTCTCTTAATTACATCAAAACATTCGATTCACTGCTCGTTTTCATTTCTCACAGAAGACAAGGACACATGAAGAAAATGAAAAAGGAATCAATGTGTTAAGACTGAGGTGTTTGCACTTTTTTCTTGACATCAAAAAAAAAACCTTCCTTTACTATTGTTTTAGTGTTTATGTGAATCATTACCTTCTTTTTTTTAAATGAAGAAACTATGTCTCATTTTGAAGTACTATCTGTCAAAAGCCAAAACAGCTACCAAGTGCCAGGGCTCCGTCCTCCTGGGGATCCTAAAGGACCTTCCCCTGAAGGTCAGGAGCAGGCTTTGCTAGACCCGTTAGCAGTGATAGGGCCCCAGATTATTTTCTTCTTCAAAAGGGACCCAGAATTCACAGAAACCCTTTCGTGTCAGGAGTGCAAGAGTGTCGCCTCGCTCTTTGATCTTTTCAGAATGACTCTGCCACGAGGACTGATGTGGTCGCTCACTGGGGAAAACAATGTGGCCCAGGTTTGCATGGCAACATGTACGGGCAGTTAAAACTCACTGACCAAACCTCAATACAGAAAAGGCTTTCTACTTATTGCAAAAGAAAAGATCTTTAGTAGTCAAGTTTCCTCCCCCATCAGAGTTTTAATACTTAAGGCGTCTGGCTTTCAGAGAGAGATCTTAGCTCCTTAGTAAATCAGATGATGATGATGTAGCTCTGCAAAAAAGCCAGTACATGAGTGCAGGTGTTATGTACTGTGCTGGGCGCACAGGCACGTAAGGTCTGGCCTAGGGGGCTTTCCCGCTGTTTGGGGCATTTTCCCGGCCTTTCCTTACCGAGAACGTCGCTGGTGGCCATGATGTCACATGTGTACATAGCCGCCATGAGACGCTGAGGCTTCACCTGCAGTGCGTGGCGACACGCTTCCTTCATGGTGGCGATCAGCTGCCCCGACAAGGGGCCGTAGCAGTCGGCGAGGGCAGCGTCTCCCTTCTGGGGAGCCCTCCCCTCCCCGGGCTCAGAGCGGCCATCTTGTAGCTCCTGGATCCCAGCTCTACCAGAACAGGCCTCCGCGTCCTCCTGGCCCTCTTTCACCAGATCACCTTGTTCTTGACGCCGTTCCTCACCTGCTCCTTGTTCCTCCAGTTTACTTAGGTCCCACCTCTCCAGAACGAAGCAGACACCCATGAGGGGCTCCTCACACATAGGGCCGGCGAGGGCTGCGAGCTGGAAGCCGCTCACCACGCTATTGCCCAAGTCCCGGTATCTACTGGCTTCTGCTGAAGCTTTGCCGGGTAGGCCTGTCCACACGGGGTTCTGAGAATCCTCACTTTTATTCACTAGTATGTTCGGCCCACATTTTCTTGGGCCAAATGACCAGATTTGGTCCACAGTGTTCCTCCATTTTCTCCCTGTGAGGTGTTGTTCTAGTTTTCCTTTGAATTCCCCAATTTTCTCTTGCATCTTGTGGTGAAACATCTGAGTATTTTTGCCCTCATTCAAGGAGGATGTGAACTGCTCCATGGCCCGAATCAAATCACTATTTTCTTCCAGAAGCTGAGTGACTTCTTCAGGAAGGGGCACAGCTCGGACGCTGAGCGTGGCGAGCTTATTGGGAGTTGTCATGGTGACGAGCCCGTCAGAGTCAACTTGGACCCCTTCGGGAATTTTGCTTTGATCTTCTTTTGTTTGGTGTATAACAGCAACTTTTTGTTGTTTGCCTATTTCTTCATTGACCATGTCAACTTTCGGGGGTTTTGTGATTGTTTCTCTGAATGGAATAATGGGTTCAGAAACACTGATTTCCATCTTAGCAAACCTACGGGCAAATTCACGAGAAAGAGCAAAGGTTACAGTCAAAACAGCATCAAAACTCCCATGCAGAAATACACTTTATGACCGTGGCAGATCGGGCCTTTACATTGTGTCAACTTAAACCGCTTTCACGTCCGATTAAAAAGACTGCCTCCAATGGGAATGCACCTTCAGGGAGTTCTCTGCATGTGTTAGAACTTCACTGCTTGGACTACTCTCAAAAAGAAGAAAAAACAAAACACCTGTTTAGATAATGTTTAGAGTGGAAAAATAAATATATTAATATAAGGATTGGACATATGAATTCTTAAAATAATATTTAAGAATCTGGAAAAGAAGAGCTCAATGACTATAACTCTATAACAGACAAAGACTCCTGTAACTCTGAGCCATCAGCCAACCCTGACAGTGTATGTGGCTCTGATAACGGGACCCGCGGCGCGGCCGGCGCGGCCTGGGAGTCTGTCTAGAGCAGCGCCTTCCTCGGGAACTTTCTGCAGTGCTGGTCACGTTCTCCTCCTGCTCTCGATTACTGAGCATCTGAAATGTGGTCAGCAGAACTGGGGAAATAATTTTTTAATTCTATTCAACATGTAGCTCCTGAGCATTTGAAACGTGCCTAGTGTGACTGAGGAACTGAGCTTTTGATTTTATTTAACTTTAAAATAGCCACACATGGCTAGTGGATACTATATTGGACAGCACAGGTCCTGAATCTCAGTCGGACACCAAGTTCAGGAAGCCCTTTTCACATGCTATCAAGTTTAATTTCATGTTGCATTTTCTTCCAAATGAGTTGTATTTATAGACGGTGGATTGTGGAGACTGGCATGGATGGATTCTGATGATGAAACAGCACAATCTCTGTCTCTTATTTTCTGTCTACCTCACTCCCAGGTAATGTTTGAATCTGGGTCTGGTCTGTGCCTGCTACTGTCAATGCGGGTGGTGGGGGGGCGCGCACGTGCGTGCGTGTGTGTGTGTGTTTGTACATGTATACAGTATATGAAATTCTGGGATCCTGGTATAAGCATTACCTTCAGCAATGTTATTAAATAAGGGAACTAGATGTTAAAAGTAAAAGTTTCTGAAATGCTTACATTTGATACTAGATTTGCTTCTGCGTCTACATCCCATAGGTGTGGGTAGGCATTTGGTGTATCTGATTTTGTAATTTTTGATGATCCAAAAATCCAATAAATGGATGGTTTTCTAAAAATAACGTTACCAAAATTCATTTTAGGATGTAGAAACTGAATGTGTGGAAGAAAATAAAAACGCTGTAGGAAAAAAAAGTGTTCCCAAGAAAGGTTTTAGTTTTGTCAGGTGTTTTCACTTCCAAGGATTAGCTTCTTTCATTCAATGCTTTATATATATTGCTGCAGATATACAAGTTAGATGTCTACCTGACCTTGTATTAATTTAAAATTACTTTGACACCTAAAGCCTAACAAAGACAGCATAATAGATAAAAGTGTAGTTCAATCTTACCTAAGAATTCAGATAAACCTAAGACAACAATGGAAAAAAATCAGTTATGTATTTTTAAACTAATCACTCACTATGTTCAAGGCACTCTGCTAAGTGTTTAACATGTATGCCTTCTTCAGTAGGTATATTATTATACTCATTTTGAATCCTCATTTTGTAGATAAGAAAGATTAAATAAATTCTTCAAAGTCATCTGGATAGTAAGTGGAGAAGCGAGGATTCAAATCTAGATCTGACCTCAGAATCCATACTCTATAATCTGCTTCATGCTATACTGAAAAATAAAATTAAACAGTATATTAAAAAAATACTTCACACTAAGTCATTTTCCTCATAGGTTATAAAATTGATTTGTATTTGGAGATCTATTAAAATAATACATCACATAAAAATGCCAAACTAATCGATATCACTATTTTAAAAAATACTAAATTGCTGTCCAGGAACATCTAATATCCATTGCTGGTCTTAAAAAAAGAATAACACCTAGAAATCTTGGGAATAGGCAAATATGTTTTAAATTATCACTATTCAGAGAAAATACATTCATGTATTTAGAACACTGAAGATCAACTTCACAGCTACGCAAACTGAGAGTGGATGTGTTTGTGCCGTCGTCCTCGAATCACATGGTTAAAGGGCTGTGAGCCTCGCTGGTCTGAAGAAGTCTCCTGGAGTCGTTACTTATCAACAGTGCAAGCCACTCCCCACCATGAAGTGGAGGTACATGTGTGGTCGTCACACCTGCAAAGCCCCTTGGGGCAAAGGTCCTTTAAATCCTGGCTGTGCAGAGTCTGTCCTGACTTCAGAAAGAGCACGGTCAGCCCGGACTACCAGGCAATTTCCTGGGGCTTCCTGACCTGTCTGATCATTACTCCCTTGAGATTGGGACGCTAAGAACTGACAGTTCCTCTGGCCTGGAGATACCACATAATCTCCTTACCTCCTGTGCCTGTACATAATGCACTCTGAAAAATGTACGTGAGAGTGGAAAAAGAAGCGTATATACTAGAGGGCAGGTTCTATCCCATGAGAGCTAAAAGAACTTTAGAATATTACGCATGTTCTTAACAATTTAAGGAGATTCCCTTCTGCTTCTCGTTTGCTAAGAGTTTTGATCATGTGTGAATGTTGAATTTTACCAAATGCTTTTTTCCTTTTTCCATTGGGATGATTTCTTTCCTTTTTTCTATTAATCTGGTAAATTAATATTGGTTGATATTTTTAAAGTTATTCCAACTTTAAATTCCTTTGATAGAGGACTATCACATTTTCTGTTTCTTCTGGGGTCATACTTTTCTAGGAGTTTGTCTATTTCCTTTCAAATTTATTGGTATAAAACCATGCATAATGTTCTCTTCCACTTCTTGGCCCAGATCAAGGTGCACAGCACCCAATTCATCACGGGGCTCTCGACTCCTCCAGGTACTGGGGCACTTGAAGACGCTATGGCCTTCTGTCCGCACCAGCTGACTCAGGGCTCCAGAACAGCACAGAGCTTGAAACCCTGCCCGACCGGTCTGCCCACCATCGTCTCCCACCCTGGGTCTAGCTGACTTCCCTGCCACTGACCATGAAAGTGGAGCAGGGGGACTGCCCACCCCCACCCCCCGCGTGGGCTCCAGGCCACTTCTCTGAGCCCTGCCAGACAGCATGGAGCCCTGAGCTCGAGCCTGAGGTTACCTCTCCCCTCACCAGGACCCAGGGCAAAGGGAACTGTTCTTGCTTTGTTTTTCAGGAGGTGCCATTACTTTTAGAAATTGGAATTTTTTGGAAAAGCAGTGAATAATAAGCACTTCAGAATTTATAAAGTGCATCATTAAAGCAGTATGTATTTTTGAAAAGCAAATGCTGTAGCTTTTATTATCCTCATTCAATGTAAGTCTAAGGTATTTCTAGGTATTTAGATATGGATAGTTTCTAAAAAGGTTTACACAGAATGGTTTCCAAATAACACAGTAGTATTATTAAAATATTTATGAAGATATTTTAATGCCCTGCTAAGGGCATGTTTCTAGAAAACCAATTTCTCTATTATGTAGATTTTTTCTTCTGAGATTAAAAGTACTCCTAATTAAAATGATGAGATTATGACAAAAATGAGATAAAAACAAAAAAAGACTAAACAAAGATACAAATAAGTAATTCAACTAAAATCAGTTTTAGGTTTACAGGAAGAAAATTACTGAAATATAATTCTAAGTACCAAAAAGCATTATTTTAGAAGGGAGTTAATGGCCTGAGAAATCTAAGGTTATTTAAATATTTAACATGGATTTTAATTTGGTAGCAAAGAGCGTGAAAAGCGAGAACATAATTTAGTTCAAAGACCCCCCCCAAAATAATAAAATGCTTCAATGGTTCCAATATTTTAAAAACCCTTTGAGAATTATTGTTTTAAAATACATCACACATTCTGAGATATCCAAGCAGCGGTATTGTCTAACCAACATTAGAACCTTCAGAAACTCCAAGCAAATGGTAACAAACGTGGAAAAACGCAAGGTGTACACTCCAACTTTGTACTAATTCTGGCTATAAACACACGTGAAGGAGGAAGAGGCCACGGGGCCACTGTGAACTGGGGAGCGGGGATGTGAGCACCCGGGCCAGCAGCCACTGCCTGTCGCCCCGCTGGTGGGTGGTAGTGGCTGCCTACACTGCTACCACCCCCGACTTAATCCTTGTTACAAGGATTAAATGAGACAAGCAGTGTCTAACAAAGAGACTGGCATTTAATATCTACTGGCATTTAATATCTAGTATACGACTATACTGATTTATAATTATTTCATTATGACTACTATAGTCAGAATATTTAGAAAGAAAAGAAAGGCCATTATGGGGCAATTTATCAAGGAAATAATCCAAATGGCTAATAAACACATAAAAGAGGTTTCAGTATCATTAGTAAGCACAGAAAAGGTCTATCTGTAATTCATAAACACCTCTTATATGTCTTGCAGATTGGTGAAATTAAAAAAAAAATTACAATGTGCAGGGATGACAAAAGTTTGGCAGAAGAAACACTTCCAGATACTTTTTGCTAGTTACGGTGTAGCCGGGAACATCTCTCCTAAGGATAATACAGATCGTAAGCCTAGAACGAACAGCACAGCGCCACCTCTGAGCCACGACACCGCTCCCGGCGGTTCTTCGAGGCTAAGTCACTAGAGCTGGGACTCAGGTACCTGTATCTGAACACGCACAGGACTAGGGGTTTACGAATCCAAATGTAATGGTGTTTATCTCTGCACAGTAACTGAATGATTCTTTCTGTTCTTCTGTGTTGTCCTAATTGCTATAATAAATATACATTATCTTAGGAATAAAGAGGAAAAATGTTATTTACAAGAAGTGATTTGGGATTCCTATTTTATGACAGGTACATACCGTAATAAATATAAAATTTTCCTGAAGGCTTAGATTGTAGAGGCCATATCAATAAGGAAAGAAGCTTGTTGGAATTACAGCCTAAGTTTACAAAATACGATTCTGTCTCTTTGCCCTGATATGCTGCTTATGTACATGTGTAGGTATACTTTAAGTAAAATACAGACATATGAAAATACTTTGACTCAAGCTAAAAATGGAAAGTTATTCAAGTACAGAAGTGAATGTTTTTTGTCAATTATAGAAATTAAATCTATAAACCAATACAGTAGCTGTTCATGTCTGAGCTGAGGGCATTTCATTTTTCTCCAAAAATAAACCTCAGTCTAAGTTCAGCTGATTCAGGAAACTAAGACATCTCCTGATTGTGGCACCATCGTTTCCCCACCTCCATCACCCCCTGACCTTTCTTTCAAGTCATCCAGGCATCGCTGAAGGTGGACTTCCCCCGCCGTGACTAAGACGTGCTCTCCCGTCTCCTGGATTAGAATCTGGACACAGGGGTCAGCTTGGTTTAACAGCTTCATTCCTTTGACAAGCTGCGGCATTTCACCTAGATTAACAAAATGAAACACTGATTAAATGCAATACAAGGAAAAATACAATGAAATAGATTCTTAAATAAAGGTTTGTTTTTCTTCCAAATAACACAGAGATGTGAAGAAAATTACCTCCTAGTAATTTATTTGTACAGGTGATAACGAACATGAAACGCTTGCAAGCTTGTCTCAGAGCTGATCTATGCCACTCACTAAACAGAAACCACCATCATTACACCTGAGACCCCACCTAAATCTTACTACAAAGGCATATATTATATGCCTAGAAAAGCAGCCGAACGGTTCCCAAATAGTGCCTATAAAATCACCAACCAGCACAAGAAGCATTTAACATGATGTTCAACTCAAGAAACTGCAGCAGAGCCTCACACTGAAACTTGTGGAGCGGACGGACGGATGGACTGTGGGTCTGAGAGTAAACCTGCCCTCGGGTCAGCCTGCGAGACCCAGCGCCCTGACCCCGGGGGACCTCTATGTTCGCCTCTGCTTGGGTATTTCACTGGGAATTACTTTTTCCCTGCAGGTATCGGGAGCTGAGGGGACGGATGGGGCTTCTGATCCCCATCTCAGTTTTGGCTGTTTTTTCACCCTTTCCATATACTCAGCCACTACTACTCAGCCAAGGCAGGTTAGAGGGAGTCTCTGTTAGAACTTTGGTACAGACCTTGGCCTTGAAGGCATTTTTAAGATTTTTATGTGGTCTTATTTGACTTCTACCTCTGAAGGAGCAATTCCTGCAAACTTGGTTTTCAATATGCCAAACGACTAAAGCCACAGGAACTTTCTGCAACCAGAGGTTTTCAGTGTTACAAAAGTGGGTTATACGTATTTATTCCATATCTATTTATTTTTGAAATCAGGCTTTTCTAATGATAACTAACACTTCATACTGCCTAATAATGTACCAGACAAGCAAGCACCTGTCACACACGGGTAGGACAAGGAGTTCTCATTGTGTACACAAGGGCTCACGCACAGCAACGCGGAGCTACAGAGCTTGTTGGGATCACAGAGCCACTGGCTCTGAGCCTGTGGGCAGCCGGCCCCAGAGGCCCTGCTCCCTGATGGACGCTGACCCTCTGGAGCTAGGCCAGCAGGAGCCACGAAGGGGATGCCGGGGCCCGGTGTGCACAGGTGGACACACGTCCTCATTCCTTCCTTTTCAGCACACTATAGTTCTCCTCCGCCTGATCCAGGGCAGTTACAAATATCACCCACTGCTTACTAACAGCCCTCACAGCACCTGAGATGTGGTCTAAAAGGATTCGTGCAAGAAGACCACTGATAATACGAGTGACACAAGTACAAGGGAACCATAAACAGTAAATAAAAAAGATTTTCCTCAGCTCTTCATCAGCCAAATTATAAAGACAACAGACGTCACCACTATGAGAACCTAGCAAATTCTTTAAAAAAAGGCATGCAGACTTAAGCTTGTCTCTTCACCATAAAGGTGACAGTTTAATAAGCAAAAAAGAAAGCTTTTCAAATAAAATTTGAAATATGAAGACATTTTGATATTAGATGTTTGCGGTTGTTTACAATGATCATTTTGTTGCCAGTAACAACATAAACACTTCATCTATAAAACCTGTTAAAAATTTGGAAGCTAGTTTTCCTAACCTGTTTAAAAATATTCCAAATGAATAGTTCACTCAAGATATAAAAATTGACATCAAATTTTAATTATGTAAGAAAACTGAGATCAGAAAAAAACTACATTTCATCAAAACTTCTGTGTAGCTGGTAAACGGGATGTAAAATGGATATTACAGTCTAGTGAAGGCAGCCAATGGTGCACCTCTTCCGTTTGGACTATATAATTTTGTTGGGGTGCCTTTTCCAGACAACATACATTAATTAAAATCAGGTGTTGCAGCAAACAGAACTCAGAAGCAGACCTCTGAATAGCCATTATAATAAGATGTTAAGATTTTCAAAAATAATGAAGCATTGTTTGGTAGCCACCCTCCCAGATGGCCCCAGCCATCCTTGCCCGATACCCACCCCTGGGCAGCAGCCCCCACAGGGAAGCAGGGCCTGAGCGACTGACAGGAGGCTGCAGGTCCCCAAGGCCTGAGACTACCAGGGCTGGATCGCGAAAGGCACTGCCGTATCTGCCCCCGTGGCCAGAAGCTGGCCAGCATGCTACGCTGCCAGATGCTCAGACACAGGGGAAGGTCCCTGTGGGGAGGAAGCCGGGTCGCCAGCCAGCACCAACCTGAGAGCGCATGTGAATGAACCCCTGTGTGTCCGGTTAAACCTTCAAATGGCGGCAGCCCGCAGGCCAGAGATGCAGCCGTCCAGGTACCTGCTCTAGGGCCCCAGGGATCCTCAGTGCTTAAGGTGTGTTCAGAACTTGAGGCAGAGATGGGCCCTCAAAGGCCCCCGCCCTGTGGAGAGGTGCTAGGGAAACGAGGCCACTGTGCGTCTCAAGAGAAAACCACCAGTTCACCCGTTTGGTCTCTGGTTGCCGCACAGCACAGTCTGGAGAGTTCGCTGAAAGCCACGAAGCACTGGGAACAGCAAAGTTACAGGAGTGAGGGGCTGGCCACGGTCACGGGAAGGAAAGTAAAAGAGTCACCAGACTGGCCAGGCAAGCGGTGTAAACCAACAACTAAGAGGGGACCATCATGCGGCCTGGCGTCTGCGGGCGCCGCCCAGTCGGGGAGAAGCGGCAGGACGTGCTTCCTCAGCAGACAAGTGCTCAGAGTCTGGACAAGAGAGCAAACCTGGAGGAAGAGACAGATGCATTCTGATGGAAGGCCTGGGGCCAAGGTTCTAAGAACAGGCGCACAAACCCGAGCTTTGCTGAGGCACCACCTGGGCCGGGGTTGTGGGGGATCAGAGAGGACACGCCTGTGCTGTAAAGAACACAGTCTCCCTGGAGAGTGAAGCTGCCTAAACACGCTAGGCTCCTACGACAGAGGCTGGATCCCCCTCGAAGAGCTGCCAGTCTGTATGGCTGGAAAGATTACTTCTATTTTATATCTGCGTGGACATTCACAGTATAGTGCCGAATGAACTACAAGGAGCCAAGCATTAAATGCATGCATTCAAAAAGCACGATGAGCATCACACGCTTTAAACGCAGTCATCTTACTTGGGTGTTTCGGTTCCACAGCGACCCTCACTATCGGAGTGGCTTCGAAGTTGAGTGGTATGAATGGCGGGCAGGACGGCAAACTGCACAGCGTCGCAGACTTCAGCACAAAGTCTTGAAGGCCCCCTATTCCTGCAGGGAGAAAAGATCTGTGGGGTCAGTAAAGGATGAATTCTGAATCTACTTGAGAAAAGTAGCATCAGACCAGTGCATAAGTCACACAGGAAAAATCCTTAAAACTATAACAAGGAATGAGGCCGACCTGCGCTGGGCTTGGTACCTCTGGATGCTATTTAACTTAATAATGTTAAATACAGAAATTCTGCTAGTTTTTGTTTTCCAAATGTACAAATCATGTTACATCAAACTGGGCTAATACATCCCTGCTTTGACTACAGAAATACTCATGTCCAGATACGTATGTCTGAAAATACTAATTATTTCTACTTATAACTCTTCGTTTTCAAAATATAGCAATTTGATGAGTCTCTACTGAAATAATCTCTTGCTGAATGTACTTCCATGTGGGAAAAGGGAATTTAGAGACTTAAAATCTGATGTGGCTATGGAGTACTGACAGGAAGCCACCCCTCACACACCCAGATTTCAGTCACACACTCAGATTTCAGAAGAGAATGTCGGGCCCCACTTCCTTCCCTGTCCGCCCCCATGTCAGGCTCCTGGCTCAGGGTGCACGAAACCCCAAAGGGTGCACACTTGTCTGGGTAGATGGGAACAGACAGAATGCCCCAGAGAGAGATGAAGGGGCGCGTCATGCCTCCGGTCAGAATCTCCCACAAGGGCCGTTTCTGTGCTGCTGGCGTAAGGTAGACGGAGGAGGGCATGGGAGGGGAGGGTACCTGACTGACAGGAAGAGGACAGAGGAGAAAGGGACAGGGGTATTTAATCAGCATCTCCTTGTACATCCTGGGCTTAGAAACAACTAAGGAAAAGAACAAAGGAAACAACTTTGCTGCCTTCATTTGACGAGAGGATGAAAAGGTACCGCGGTGATGGGGTGTCTACAACTGCAGGCAGCCCAGTGGGGGCACCGAGGCAGAGGCCGAGACGTGAACCGGGTAGGAGGCCCGCAGGGCTGAGACCCCCTCTGCCATCCCGCCCGCCTGCCACTGGAGTTCACCGCCTCACTGCAGCAGGCGCGGCTCTACTGGCAAGGAGGAGCCTGTGTCCCCCCTCGAGCATCCACGGCCATGTCCCAAAGGCCTACAGAAAACGCGCTGCTTCCACTGTGACCAGCTCCCTTGGATTCTGAAGGCATTTGTCAGATTCTTCAGACCCTCTTCTGCCTCACGCTAAATATCATTGGCTCCAGGAACCACTCGGCTCATCCGGGGATTTCTAAGACCTTTTGTGCACAAGAGACCCTTTTTAGACTGAAGTTTCCCGGGCACTGACCTCAGTGCCTGGGACTCAGCTGTACTTACCTGGTCAAGGTCTACACCGCTGACTGCCACACCTGCCGGCCCAGCACACGGCGGTCTGCACCCGGCCACAGCTTCTCAGAGCTTTCCCCACTGCTCCCACGGTGCAGCCAAGCCAGGTGCGCCAGCTGCCACCAGTCCACCAGAAATTGCAAATTCTCCCGGGGCCGGGAGGCCAAGAGAACCCCACGGCGGACATTCCCTCTCAAACCTCACCCACCCTGCCTCTGCCCCTGCCGGGCATGCATTTCCTTCCTGCACGCAGGGCACGTGGCTTCAGCGAGAAGGGGAGCGCTGGCCTCCTCTGCGTCACCAGGGCCGCAGGCTGCAGACGGTCGCTGTGTTTTGGAAACTGTCTCTCTGAACTTCTGTGGTTTACCTCTTGCTGTTACAATTACCGAATCTATTCTTGATATTTTGAAATGCCCAGATTTGTGAGCATGATTATAATTCCCCTAAAAGCAGGAGAAAATCAATACCACAGTATTGCGACCTCCACTACATGTCACCATTTTACCTCTTTTTAAATACAATTTTGAAACCAAGGTATAGGACCATTAGAGTTACTTGGATGAATCACAATTAAATGACTCAAAAATCATGTTGCAAATTTCTTGATGTACTATAATTATTAAGCGTACAACTTGATACTCATACAAAACATCACTTAAAACAAGCTTTTTGTTTTAAAAATATTAAGTACAATTTTGAAAAAGAGCGGTATACCCATAACCATGATCACCCCATTCTAATACTGTCACTATTTTTATTTTGATAATAGTTTCCTTTTTCCCTCCTCCAAAATTGATGCTAAAATGTCCATATAATTTTTTATCCTCTCATTTTGATTGCTTTAGTCACAATTATAACAATTACAGAGGAATAATGCCTTCACATGAAGCACATTTGTTAAAAGCATTTTTCAAATCTGGGATTAGGGGATGAGGGACATATTCCCTCAGGGAAATCACTTCTGAATTTCTGGGGAAGGAGAAGTGAGAGTTCAGGGGAAAAAAATCCAAAATTAGTATGGCATTGATTTGTTCTAAAGACTAAAGAGGTTGCAAGTTTTAAAAGATGTTTATCAACATAGGGCATATGATTAAAATAAAAGCAAGAGAGAGAGAAAACAGACTGAGAATACAAGAACATGGAGCGGGAGCAATTTATTATATGCTTCTTTTTATACAAACACCAGAAACTTGTCAGACTGAAGAGAAATGACCCACGTTGTCTCTGGTCTTAACTCTTCTCTGTGTAACAAGTAAAACTAGGTCATACAGGTGCCCAGCTCATGCTGGGTGCAGGCAATGTGCCCAGGTGAGCGACGAGCCCTTCCTCTGCGTGGACAGGCCCCGGCCAGGCTGCAGGCCACGTCCCTACAGTTCCTCCTAATCAAAACCAGCATTTTGCAAGCAACGTCAAGCCAAAATCTTTCCCAGGCTCTCTCTAATGTTCACCTTTCAAAAGTATTCCAGGAACAAACAACATTAAGAAGCATATTTTCCATCTCATCTTTCACTTTTTGAAATGAGAATATTGTGTGGGGCCTGGGAGATGGACTGGCCCTGTGTTGACGACCTTTGTTGTTCCTAACAACTCCCTGCTGCACTGGTCGAATAGACGTGGGCTGAGTCCCCTGGCGGCGGGAGGGTGGTGAAATCATTTCTGAGCCCTGACCCTGCCTCCTGGGGTGTGCCTGCCCGCAGTCTGGCCAACATCAGTACCTTCAGGAAAGTTTGTGTTCGGAAAGTACATTTTCACTGGGTGTAAAAACACTGGGATTAAACAAAGCTTTGTGGGAAGACATGTTTATGTTCTAGATCACAGTTTTTCAAGCCAACTTTACCACTGCCGCTCCACGAGCCCTCGGCCTGCTTAGCCAGAGTTCGGGGACTCCCGGCGGCCTCGGCTCTGCAGGACCGACCGCACAGCCCCAGGCTCCCGACAGCAGTGGAGACGCCAGGACGCAGCCCCGTCAGGATAAGCAGTTTCAAGGTGCGGGACCCCCGGGTGTTCTAGGTCCTTCCGCCTCTGGACGCCGCGCGGCCACACCCGCTGCCATCAGTGCCCTTACTCTACATCTGTCAAAAAACTCGGGTCCTGTTTCCTTCCAGCCAATGACAAGGGGCATCAGGGTCATCACACATGCTGTAACTCCTGGCGCGGACACAGGCAGGCACATAAGTATGAAGCAGGCCTTTTCCGAGCCTGGGTGGCCGGTCCCTTTGAAGCAGAGCATTGCTTAGTGAAGGTGTTCAGAGGATGGGTCCAGTTTGCCCAGGATGCTAAGCAAGGCCCTTAACTCAGCTGCCGTTCACTCCTTAGGGTTTTGGCGGGTGGGGAAATCTTGCCACAGCGACATCACCATGGCAGAAACCTTTTCCTTATCACAGGGACAGGTGGGGCCCATAACCAGATAATAATAGATCCTGAGCTACTTCAAGGGAGATCTGGGGCCCCTTTCTCAGAAGAGAGATTTCTGAGAAAAAGTAATACCTGAAGAATCCAAGTTTTGTTCACAAATGTGTAGGCTTGCTATCTTTGTCTGTACTTAAGGAGAGCTAGAAACTCGCCCCTTGGTGTCCTGAACCAGGTAACAGAGTTATAAGTGGGTGTCACTATGGGGCATGCATTTATATCCCCCAAGGCAGGATCTTCAAGGAGCAGACCGCCTCACTCAGCAGGAACAGGCTGGCCCGACAGAGCCTGGCTCTCTGCACGGGGACCGCACAGTCAGGCAGGTCTCGGGTGAGTGCTGTGAAAGGGGCCCAGCGTGGGCCCGGGAGCAGGGCAGAGCACCTGGTGGGCACTGTGCCTCGGTGCCCACAGGAGAGCAATCAGTGTGGAGCCTTCTGACTGTCTCTCAGGGTGTCACCCCATGGCCAAAAGGATCAAGAGAGGCTAGCCCAGGAGAAAGGACAATTAATTACTTAAAATATTTTAAAATAATGTTCTGCATCAGAACAGAAACAAATGTGAAGGGTGGGTAAGAACGATGTACCAGTGGGGAAGGGAACCCCAGGCCAGGACACAGTGTATACAAAGTCCTGGAATGTTCTGGGAACCTAGAGTCACTCAGAATCCCTACGGCCTACAGGACAAACGAGGGGCTGGCCAAAGTGAGGCTAGAGGTAACAGAGACACATTTTCAAGGGCCCGGAACACCAAACCAAGTGTAGACCTCACACCGCAGGCCGGGAGGGAGGGACGGGATGAATCAGAGGCCTGAGCAGAGCGTCGGGGCTGGGTTATTGTAGGAGTTGGGGGTGAGGGGGTGAGGGGGTGCGAGGCCACAACACGGAGACTTGGAAAACCGAGATGATTACTGGTTCAAAGCATTTCTCTGCTCTTCTTTTAGGGTCGTAACTTCTTCCTGTCATTTGTAGTAGTTCTTCCTGTAATCAACATTTTAACTCCTAACCATATTTCTTCCTCTGGACTATAGTTACCCTGTTGATTTTGTGTCTGCTTTTTTTCCCCTCTAGTACCTTTCTGAGCCGTTCTCTTTGGTGTCTAAGCATAAAAGCTTAGAAATTCATGCTTTCAAAGAACTGATAAACATTATTCAATTCTTGGTTAGTGTTTCAATTATTTTGTTTTAAGGGCAGAGGTACAAATAGGCACTTGTTTCTTCAACCAGCAAGTGAACATGAGCATAGTTCTGTCCTCAGCACTTAAAATCTGAAG